GTGTGTGTGTGTGTGTGTGTGTGTGTGTGAGAGAGAGAGAGAGAGTGTGTGTGTGTGTGAGAGAGAGAGAGAGAGTGTGTGTGTGTGTGTGTGAGAGAGAGAGAGTGTGTGTGTGTGTTTGGCTGGAAAGTAATCTCAACAGTTTTGGCCTTTGTGAAAATAAGACGAGACATTTGGAAATGTACATAACCTGTTTTTTAATATTTGAGGTTTGTTTTGCTTGTTTGTGCGATGGCATGTAGTTGTTTTATAGAGATTTTGTATACATTGTAATTGTTTTGCTTATGAAATCCGATATTTGTCTCACCATGTAAATTAATGTAATATAAACATATTATATTGATTTATAGACAGTGTTCAGATGACAAATACACAGATTTAGGATCAAACTCTTTTTCTCTCTTTTGTAACATGATTGTGCCAAATCGCCTTTAAAAATACAAATGAAAAGAGAGAGGTTTGAGATGCTGTTTATCCCCGTCCCTTCTTTCTGAATGCTGTCCATGACACCCTGATGCCTGTAAACACTGAGAAACACCTCAAACTGAGACAGATTTAGAGGAATAGTTCACCCTAAACGAAAATGTGTTCTGAGATTAGGATGAGTTTATTTCTTCATCAGGTTTGTAGAAATGTAGCACTGCATCAGTGTATCAGCAATGGATGCTCTGCAGTGAATGGGTGCCGTCAGAATGAGAGTCCAAACAGCTGATAAAAACATCACAATAATCCACAAGTAATCCACAGCACTCCAGTCCATCAGTTAACATCTGGAGAAGACAAAAGCATTAAAGTTTAGAGCTGTTTAAATGCTGCTTGATCTGTGCAGATTTCTCTCCTGATTCAGACCAGAACACTTTTTCACTGGAGGAAGAGTTATTATGGATTATGGACTCTATGGTATTTTAGTTAAAAAGGTCTTAATGCTGGATTAGTTTCAGCTTTTGTCTTCTCCAGATGTTAACTGATGGACTGGAGTGCTGTGGATTACTTGTGGATTATTGTGATGTTTTTATCAGCTGTTTGGACTCTCATTCTGACGGCACCCATTCACTGCAGAGCATCCATTGCTGAGACACTGATGCAGTGCTACATTTCTACAAACCTGATGAAGAAATAAACTCATCCTGATCTCAGATGTGCACATTTTTAACACATTTTCATTTTTGGTTGAACTATTGCTAATAATATTTTTGTGGCACAAGTGCCCTGTCAATCAAACTAAGCAGAGAACCTCATATTGATGTTATGTAGAGTATATTGTGAATCAACACTACAGAAAGACTAAGGCTTGTGAGCGGCTGTTGTCTTGTTGTAAAGGGCTTCAGTCGACGGCTCTTCTAGAGATTGGTCCTTCATAACTAATATATCTTTCTAATCATGTCAGGGGCTCTTGAAATGTTTCTGAAGCTGCACGCCTTTAATTCTTGCATCACAAGATCACATCATTGATTCTGGATCTGTTTTATTTTCCATCTTTATTCTCTCATTCTAAACTTGACACGTGGCCACATTTGTAATAGGCAGCACTGAATATGTAGAGTTGCTCCTCACTGTATGTGCTCAGAAATCCTCTGTACTCGCTACAGTCTCTGAGCTGCTTGCTTTGCTGTGTTTTAAGCTAGTTTTAGAGCGTTTGTGGGAGAGTTTATTGGCTGATTTCTGGTTTCCGACAGCAAATGTACAAACCTTTTTGTAATAAAAACGGATCTAGTCATGCTTGGCCTATTTCATTTACTGTGACTTTACTGTGGTAAAAATATCCCACTGCTGCAACTAAACACACACAGCACTCAAACCAGCACATTAATGCTGTTTTATTCTAACAGTATGTGTAGTTTTATTCAGAAATTTATCCTTACAGAGGATACTGTAGTGATTTAGAACCATACATCAATATGCTGCTTATGAAAAATAGTGTTTTTTTAATTTTTTGGGACAGATGTATTATAATTTACTACCATGGCTTTTACTACAATTCTAATGCTTAAAACATACATTTGTGGTTACCATGGTTTTACTACAAATACTATGAACTATGGTTACTGTAGTAAAACCACGGTTAATTTTCCCAGTCTTAGTGGTACTTCTGTTGCTCGAAATTGCATGTTTCTAAATGTTTTTTTTTTTTTAAATCCAGGTAATTTTTATTTTGTATTAATTTTTTTTGTATTGCAAAACATACATACATATGAACAGGAAGATCAAATTTCTATATAATAAATAAATATAATACAACAACACAAGATAAAAGTAGAACATGCGTACCTTTAATTCTTGCATCACAAGATCACATCATTGATTCTGGATCTGTTTTATTTTCCATCTTTATTCTCTCATTCTAAACTTGACACGTGGCCACATTTGTAATAGGCAGCACTGAATATGTAGAGTTGCTCCTCACTGTATGTGCTCAGAAATCCTCTGTACTCGCTACAGTCTCTGAGCTGCTTGCTTTGCTGTGTTTTAAGCTAGTTTTAGAGCGTTTGTGGGAGAGTTTATTGGCTGATTTCTGGTTTCCGACAGCAAATGTACAAACCTTTTTGTAATAAAAACGGATCTAGTCATGCTTGGCCTATTTCATTTACTGTGACTTTACTGTGGTAAAAATATCCCACTGCTGCAACTAAACACACACAGCACTCAAACCAGCACATTAATGCTGTTTTATTCTAACAGTATGTGTAGTTTTATTCAGAAATTTATCCTTACAGAGGATACTGTAGTGATTTAGAACCATACATCAATATGCTGCTTATGAAAAATAGTGTTTTTTTTATTTTTTGGGACAGATTTATTATAATTTACTACCATGGCTTTTACTACAATTCTAATGCTTAAAACATACATTTGTGGTTACCATGGTTTTACTACAAATACTATGAACTATGGTTACTGTAGTAAAACCACGGTTAATTTTCCCAGTCATAGTGGTACTTCTGTTGCTCAAAATTGCATGTTTCTAAATGTTTTTTTTTTTTTAAATCCAGGTAATTTTTATTTTGTATTAATTTTTTTTGTATTGCAAAACATACATACATATGAACAGGAAGATCAAATTTCTATATAATAAATAAATATAATACAACAACACAAGATAAAAGTAGAACATGCGTATACACAAATCGAAGAAAAGCGTGCTATTAAATTAAATAATCTCAAGAGCCAATTTTTTTTAGCTTTTAAATGCGTGACTTTTATTTTGTGACGTTTAAATGCGTGACTTTTATTTTGTGTCGCGGTCCATCATTTCCGGTGCTGAACGATCTCTATGGTGACCGACTGACGTTGAGTCTGAGAGGAGACTAGTGCAGTGTACAGTAGTTAAGTTAGTTAGTTAGTTAGTGAGTGATTACTCATCATGGCAAAAAGTGACGGTGGCTCGTATTTCAGGAGAACCAGTCTGTTCTGGATGGTGGTCGTGACGGTTTCTTTGAGTTTTTACACGGTAAGCTGGAACTAATTAATTATTCCGTCACGATGAAGCGCCTGAGGAGAATTTCAGAAACTCCGAATAATAATTAATATGACTGTCAGAAAATCCGTTTGACTTCCGAATTAAACGAAATGTCTGAAAATGTGCAAACTCGTGGTGATTAGGAGAAAATAATCAGAACTGGACTATTATAATTTACTACCATGGCTTTTACTACAATTCTAATGCTTAAAACATACATTTGTGGTTACCATGGTTTTACTACAAATACTATGAACTATGGTTACTGTAGTAAAACCACGGTTAATTTTCCCAGTCTTAGTGGTACTTCTGTTGCTCGAAATTGCATGTTTCTAAATGTTTTTTTTTTTTTAAATCCAGGTAATTTTTATTTTGTATTAATTTTTTTTGTATTGCAAAACAGTCTGTTCTGGATGGTGGTCGTGACGGTTTCTTTGAGTTTTTACACGGTAAGCTGGAACTAATTAATTATTCCGTCACGATGAAGCGCCTGAGGAGAATTTCAGAAACTCCGAATAATAATTAATATGACTGTCAGAAAATCCGTTTGACTTCTGAATTAAACGAAATGTCTGAAAATGTGCAAACTCGTGGTGATTAGGAGAAAATAATCAGAACTGGACCGTTTTGTAACCGTTATTGAACTTTACCTCAGTTTTACTAACGTTACATGAACTGAGCAAAGTCCGCTGTCGTTATTACAACACTGCATATATGTGTATATATATATACAGAATAAAATATAACTATATTTAAAAAAAAAAAAACATTTTGTAGTAAAACCGCAGAAATGTACCATGAATACCACTATATTAACCATATTGTAACATGAGAATTGTAGTAAAAGACATGGTAACAATAATAATAATAGTTTTAAATATCACATTGTGCCAGAGATTCATGAATGAGTGAATAAATGAGTTGATGAAAAGCTGGAAGACTTTCCAAATGTATAAAAGCGGTCGAGTTTTAGAAAGGAACATTTAAGAGAGAGAGAGAAAAGAAAAATGAGGGCAAATCAAATGATGAATGATTTACTGCCATTGTGTGAATAATATATAATCACGTAATCTATCAAAAAGTAACTAATCTTATTCTGAGCATTTTTAAATGTGATATAATCTAATTACAAGTACTTAATTTTTGGAATCTGATTATATAATCCGGATTACATGTTATATTAGGGCTGCACAATTAATCGAATGTCTAATCACGATTACTATTATTACATAATCGTTCAAAGTCCACTTATGTTATTCTGTGTGCTTAAGATACACTTTCTACAGCTTATTTGAAGGGTTTTTCTATTGTTTTAATTTTAGTTTTAGTGTAACAATATAATACCATGCATATTTATACTTTTATTATTATTAATATTATTATTTTTTAAAGAAGAAACCAATGTATAGTTGATATTTGAGGCTTAGTACTATAGAAAAGCAGTTAGAGAGTCTTCAGTCTTCTTTCATCTTAAATATATGGCATGCAGTTGCATCAAACTATTTTTTTGTTTTGAACAATGTATTTTGAAGTAATAGGGTTAGGGATAGTGCTCTATCAGCGCTCTATCAGGTCTGTTTGTGATATTTGCCTTAAACTGATTTCTAGGACACTTTTTAACTTTATGAAGGGCGATATTTTCCTAAACTTATTAAATGTATGTGTCATCATTAAGTCAAATTCTTACATTTTATCAATACGTTGAGTTAGAATAATAAGACACTGTATGGTTGTTTCCATTCAAATGAAATCAGTATCAACAAGCTCCATCTTTCCACAGAAGCTGCATCGAAAGTGCCGTTTAGATGCATTTAATCACTGTTTCATGAAGATTAGAGGTTCCATGAATGCATTCACACAGTAAAATTGCAAATGTGTACAAATAAGGAATGTTGGAAAAATGCAATGATACTTTTAAATGAAAGGAACCCTGTCCTGAGGAACCCAAGAGAAGTGGTTCTGGGTTGTTTCAGGACTTTCGTTGTAACTGTGGTTCTGCAGTGATTGTGTTTTCATTGGTTTCCAGTGGACGGTGTTTTGGCCTCGGGATGTCCCGTATGGCCTTCTGGGTCCTCTGGGCGCTCTGGCCAAGCATTTCGTGGACTATCATTATCCTGTGGTGTATTATGGGTGAGTGAGCGCCGTTATTCATACGGTGAGTTCAGAGCTGACGCTGATGGTGTTTGTTACGGCTGTCTGTGTTTCAGATGGTTTCTGACGTGGGTCATCCATCTGTTTGAGGCTCTTTTTGCACTGAAGGTCTGCAGGTAAGACCCCTTGTGTTTTAATGATAGTTTACACTGTCAGGATGTTTCCACATGGTGGCAGTACAGACCATCAGATGTGTGACTGATAAGCTGCGTGCATTATGTGAACTTACTGTACTTGATAGAGGAAGATTAAAGCAATAGTTCAGCCAAAAATGAAAATGTGTTGAAAATGTGCTCATCAGAGATTAGGATGAGTTTGTTTCTTCATCAGGTTTGTAGAAATGTAGCACTGCATCAGTGTCTCAGCAATGGATGCTCTGCAGTGAATGGGTGCCGTCAGAATGAGAGTCCAAACAGCTGATAAAAACATCACAATAATCCACAAGTAATCCACAGCACTACAGTCCATCAGTTAACATCTGGAGAAGACAAAAGCTGAAACTAATCCAGCATTAAGACGATTTTAACTTTAAACTTGCTTCAGGCGAAAATAACCATGAAGTCCATGAAGTCCACAAAAAAAAATAAAGCCTATAATCCATAATAACGCTTCCTCCAGTGAGAAAGTGCATCTGCTGTTGTCTCTCACATCAAAATCCAGCCACATATGTGTTTAGAGCTGTTTAAACGCTGCTTGATCTGTGCAGATTTCTCTCCTGATTCACACCAGAACACTTTTTCACTGGAGGAAGAGTTATTATGGATTATGGACTCTATGTATTTTAGTTAAAAGCGTCTTAATGCTGGATTAGTTTCAGCTTTTGTCTTCTCCAGATGTTAACTGATGGACTGGAGTGCTGTGGATTACTTGTGGATTATTGTGATGTTTTTATCAGCTGTTTGGACTCTCATTCTGACGGCACCCATTCACTGCAGAGCATTCATTGCTGAGACACTGATGCAGTGCTACATTTCTACAAACCTGATGAAGAAACAAACTCATCCTGATCTCACATGAGCACATTTTCAGCACATTTTCATTTCACATTCACATTTTCACAAGCTTCCCCCAGATGTTTTCATCTAATCAGATGCAGGACTGTGCTGATCAGTGTGTTTGTGTCTGCAGTGATAAAGGCATCGACAGCACGTCCACACGCTTGCTGTGGATCGCTCAGACGTTCCTGTTTGGTCTCACGTCTCTGTGTCTTCTGATCAAATACAAGCCCGACGGCCGACCCAAACGCCAGTGACCGAAACCAGAGCTCGTTTCCCAGCAGCACACTGTTCTTTATATTCCAGAGGATTTATCAACCAGCAGGTTATATCTGAACAGTCACATCCACCTCACTGATTCTGGAACAGCCTTTCGCTAAAGGCTAAGTGTCACATCGAGGTCTTGTTTACATGATCCTGGTTCAGTACTGAAGCTCTATCAGCAGCATTAGTCACATAATGTCTGTCAGCACAGAAAATCACTTCAGCTCGCTCCTCAGTGCAGGTACAGTGCAAAACAAGATCAAATTACACACTGTTATTAAGATTCAGAGAGCCCTCCATATAAGCTATAATAATTATTCCTGCACACTGGGGAAAAAATGGTGTAGGATTTGCTTTTAAACAATTTTCACTCAGAAATTGCTGATTGAAATATTTACAAAGAAACACACTGAAATAAACATGACATTTTGAAGTAGGAAAAACTGAAATTATTTTCTGCAACACTTGAAGCCTTCATTCATAATGCATTACAAAGATATTCACAATGCATAATGTAATGCATCGTATCTTTTGAATAAATAATTGTAACCAAAATTAAAATGCATTATAATATTTGCATATTCCGTTTTGCATCTAAAATTGGTGGTTTGTCATGTTTGAATGCATTATAATTTCTAAAGGTGTAACAATGAGTATTATAATGTATTATAACTCTGGTTACAATTATTCATATGATTATACAATGCATTATAATGTGCATTACAAGGCATAAATAATACTTTTACAATGCATCATATAAAAGGTTTTAAGTAAAGTGTTACCGTGTGGTTTTATAACAAGTGCTTCAATAATATTCATTTTTAATATTCATTCATGCTGCTAGAGCTGAACACACAACATTCCTCTAACAGCGTTTCTCTGCCGCTGCAGGTTTACAAACACTGCTGTAAGTGCAGCTGCTCATGTTTGGCACAGTAGATTGTTAGAAGAACTGCAGTGTGTCCAGCATTATGACTCCAGTCGGTTTCACTGTATGATTATGATTTACAGATCAAGAGGACGCGGTGTTTATGAATGATGGTCATTTTAAAGAAATGGAAATAAACGCACTGATTTGACATTTTAGTTTTTTGTCATCTGTTGTTCAATGTACAATCACTTCACTAAATACTGAAATACAGATATGAAGCTTCATTTGCAGTTCAGGCTGTGACAGGAACACATCATTGATGAAGCTGCGGATGAATGAATCTGATTCGCCCTCAAACTGGATTCAAACACATACGACAGAGAGAGAGAGTTTACACACCATCCGTCTGCAATCGTTCATGTGAGTAACATCAGAATCTGTTTTTACAGGATGCGTTTGATTAAGGGCTGCCAAGTGATTAATAAAGCAATAAGCCCCAAGAAGCCGTGGTTTACAGTGAATTTATAACAGCTAAGGGGCGTTGTTAGGCACGACGCGTAAAACGGTTATTCCATATACGTAGTAAGGTTTCACAGAATAAAACAGAGCAAATAAAGTGTAATGATATTAATAAAAACAGTATTCTTCCACCAAACAATGTAGCTCCTCAGAAACAGTTGTGGTTGCAACAAAGTGGTTGCCGAGCAACACGCAAATGTAAACAAAGGTGTGTTACTTTGTAGAGTCATTTACAACAGCTTTGAACACGGCTCAGCCAATCAGAATCAAGCACCGGAACTATCCGTTTTATAATATTAATCTAATTATTACATGAAGTGTTGATTCAGTTTTGGAGAAATTACCCACAAAAGATAATTTTTGTGCTAAAATGAGAATAGCATTGAATAGATAGTACAAAAAAGAGGCTTTAGTAAGAAATGTTTTGATTCAACATTGCATAAATAATTATAATAAATGGGTATTCATGTTTTTTTTAATTTAATATATTAAAATATGAAATGATTTAAAAAATAAAAATGAATTGATACCCTGAATAGGAAACTAAAAGCGCCAGTAGGTGGCAGCGAGTCACTGCCTGAATGAATGAGTCAATGATTCGTTCATTCAACAGATTCATTCAGAAATGAAGCAAGTCCCAATGTTCACACTATCCATCCTAAATCGTATGTGAGATTAGAATAAGTGTGTCCCAAAGCATAGTATGCTGAAAAGAGTGTGCCAGAAGTCCCCAAATGGTCTACTATTTCAGGTAGATTTATGAAGTGTGGATCCGTGCACACTCTTAATGGCTACCTACATTCGGTTCAGAACTACAAATACGATTAAAAAGTGTTAAAAAACCACAAGCATGGCGGATGTGCGCGACTGACAGTTAAGTAGAGAGGTTTAGATAAAGGGGTTTGAGTTACTAATAATCAACATTTAGCCTGATAAAAAAATATTTAATGTTATCTGTGTCATATTTCATCTGCAACAACAATGTGAACTTTTATAAACATCTGTTTGGCCATTAATTTTTAAATGCATCATCATGCAAAAACTATAAAATTATTGCTAGGGACAGTTTAGTTGCTGGATATTGGTAGAGACATGTTCCTAGCATCCCTACTAAATTCTACGCCCTTGTGTGATATTGCTAAACTATATCATATGAAATCAATATAAGAGGGTGATTTTTTTTGCCCTCAAATGTTGAACTTTAGGCTCATATCACTGCGTCACACAGTCAGTCGTCCTGCCTTCATCAGCAACTGCATCAATGTAAGATGCCTTAATCATTTTAATGCATTATTTTTAATCACACGAAATGAACATGTTAAATGGACAGCTCTAGTCTGAATGCAGACGTGTTGTCGTAACTCTGTGCCGCGGTCAGGGTGTCCTCAGCTAATAAGACTTGACTCTCTCTCAATCAAGAGGAAGACATCTGAACTCTTTTATTTAGCTCATCTCACGTCGGTAGTGTCAGTGTTGAAGATTCTGGGATGTAATGATGTGCAGATTCATACAGGCACACATAATATCTAACCTTATGATCTCCACAAAATACAGCAGTCAGAGTGTGATTATATACAGGATGAGCATTTATATTCATAAGCCAAATACAACAGACGTCGATTCAATCACACAGTTCAATAAATAAAGTTATATACAGCACAGTCCTTCTCCCATAAAGACAGACATTCTTGATCAACCAATAATAATTAATCATTTATCTGGAGTGACATTTAATGTCGTGGCTCAAAACATTTGATTTTAGTTACAGCCCACATGTTTAGATCCTTAGTGATCTGTGCAGTCTGTTACATGTGGCATCACTGACTGTATTTTCTTCTAAACGCTGTATCTGTATTTATTCAAACAACATTATCAAAAAAATTATCAAAATTAAGTGATTTTATACGTTTTTATACGTAACTCGAGGGGGGAAAAAATCTGCCAATGTGGAATGAAAAATAAACTTAATTCAAAAGGAAAAAAAGTTTATTGTTCTGACCCACAGAGTGTGTGTGTGTGTGTGTATAATTAATATAATAAAAATATAAAATATAATTAAAAATAATATAAAAATATAATTTTTTTAATAAAAAAATAATAGTTTAAAATAAAAAAGTCAAAAAACACTTACTAAATTTATTTACTAGCTGAATGTCATGTGATAACTGAGATCAGAGAACTGTGAACATGTGAATGTGTTGTTAAATTACTGAAATATCAACTTAAAATCTCAGCTCAAAGGCATTCGGCTGATAAAAACACTTGGCAATCGCTGTTATATACTATGGTACTGAATGAAAATGAACATGTTTTATTTTTGTTAGTGTGTAAATCAACTGTCCTCTGACCTGTGCTTTGAAGAGCTCGGCTTTATCACTGTACTGTCTGTGACGAACATCCAGCAACCTGAGAGAGAGAGAGAGAGAGAGAGAGTTAGTAAGTTAGTTAGTTAGTGAAGGGATCTGGAGAGAGGATGGCAGTGCTGTTTCCTTCAGTCATGAGAATACTGATGTTTGACTCGGCAAACACTGGTAAAGCTGCTGTGTTTTAACAGTACTACTAATCGTCCTTACATTTACATTGATGCATTTTGCAGATTGGCTTTTATCCAAAGCGACCTACATGCTGCTGCTCTCCGCCCCCTTTTCCAGAATAGAGCTGCGCCTTTACAGCTCGGACCTGCTAAAAACATCGGGTTGGTTCGGATTATCATGTTTATCGAGTTTATTAAACTTCTGATATACGGTTTTCTGAGCGCACACATCCGAAGCACACGCACAGAAAGCGGCTGTCACAGCATGTGAGCACTAAACTAAGTTCTCATTCACACACAAGTTTACCTTAAAAACGCATGAGTTACAAAAACAGTCGGTTATGTCCAGTGGTGGAGGTAACGAATTACAAATACTCACGTTACTGTAATTAAGTAGTTTTTTCGGGTACAAACCTTTGACGGCACTTCAGTAGCCAATAAAGATATCCGATCGTAAACGGACCAATAGCAGCCCTGATATCTGAAGCGGGAAAAGCGTCGCTGCAGCAGGTTTTGAAGATCTGATCAGACAGTGAGGGAGCTCGGCGTAATTTATGGACTCAAAGTTTGGAGAAATAAACTACATGGTAGTGTTCTCATAAATATCTATATTTTGATACCGATCCTGAAATATCTGACACGGTGCCATTACACATTTTCCACAGTATCTACCGAATATATACCGATAAAAGCGGCATCTCTCTCTCCCCACAATTTGAATTGATATTCAAACCTTTGACGGCACTTCAGTAGCCAATAAAGATATCCGATCGTAAACGGACCAGTAGCAGCCCTGATATCTGAAGCGGGAAAAGCGTCGCTGCAGCAGGTTTGGAAGATCTGATCAGACAGTGAGGGAGCTCGGCGTAATTTATGGACTCAAAGTTTGGAGAAATAAACTACATGGTAGTGTTCTCATAAATATCTATATTTTGATACCGATCCTGAAATATCTGACACGGTGCCATTACACATTTTCCACAGTATCTACCGAATATATACCGATAAAAGCGGCATCTCTCTCTCCTCTCCGACAGTGAGTTTGACACGCATCCGCCTCCTGTCAATTACAGAGTCTGAATATCCGCGTGGGTATTCTGCATAATTTTAATCATTCCCGTGCAAATGTGGCTAGCGTTTTATTGTAGCATGAGAACACAGTCATGTAATCACAGAAAACTGGATGCGAGCTCTCAAATAGGCCTAACTTATACAAATGACCTGCCTCTCCTCACGCCGATATTGCTTGTGCAATCGCGATCTCTCCGTGCTAGAAATTATTTCTCTTTGCTCCTGGATTAAACTTTGTCAGAATAGATCCGTGCCTGACTGAAGAAAATGCTACTGGAAATTTGATTGGCTGTAAGTGAAAGTCTTTCAACAATCAAAGATGGAACTGTTATTTCTTTACAATGTAAGTTTATGCTAGAAGTGTTTTGGAATGGGATATTTGTCT